TAAAGCAGTCTTAAAAGAAATTAAATTCTATGTTTTAAAAAAAGAATCTTCTTCTTACTGATTACAGAACCAGCCTTCTTAAGACTCAAGGGTAAATTGTAATACTGGAACACAAAAAGCAAAAATACAAAATGTCAAAGAGGCCCTAGCTTAAGCTTTCTTTAAATGGGGCACTAAGCAGGCTTTGGACACTTTGTAAAAAAGAAAACTTTTGGGGCTGGGAAGATGGCTCAGTAGAATAAGAGCTTCCCTGGCAAGCACAAGGGTCTGAGTTCAATCCCCGGTTCCACCAAAGAAAAGAAAAAGAAAGAGAAAACTTTTATTCCCACTCTTCCTCAATTAATCAATATAATTATTTCTATAGATGATATTTTTTTTTTATACAAAAGGCCAAAATTTGCTTTTAGAAGGGTAAAACTTCAACTTTTCTCAAAAGACAAAGTGGGATTTTATAATATTATCAGGATGAAAAGTATATACATTTATATGACAGAAAACAGACAACATAAATATTTACTATATTATGTATGACAACAGAGATAAGTTTCTGTATGGTTTAACCTATAACTTTAAAGGCTTCTGGTTAAAGATGGAAGACTGCACAGAGACATTAAGCCTAAATCAATCAGAGCCCAAAATGCAATAGGAAAAGGATTTTATTGCTATTTTCTAATTGATTTGTGATTGGGTAACACTCATGGTTCAACAATTCTAAGAATTATGTAAGGACACTGAGAAACTGGCTTGTCTGTAGTTGTCACCATCACTGTCAAAGAGGGGCCGCCGGGACTAACACCCTGCACACCTCTCTCCAGGCTGCGCACAAGGTCTAAACCGTTTATTCTAATCTTCGCTTCAAGTTTTTAGATGTATTACATACTGCTTTCTTTTCTAACTTAAAAAAAAATGTATCTTCCTCACTGCTAGGTGGATATATTATGTTTATTTAACTAGTGCCCTACTGACAGTAAAGGAGTATCTCAAAAGATAGAGAACTGAAGGAGAATGAAAGAAATAAGTCAGGAACATATTTTGTTAAAAGAAAAAAAAGAACGTATTTTGTAATTGCCCCAGTAAAAGAATATATTAACAAGCCAATAAGGACAGCATACAGAAAACAGAATAGAGAAGCAGAACAAATGGAAAGCAAATACTAAGAAGACAGAGTTAACCCCAAAGATATCAGACATTACGTAACAGCTTACTAACGGCCCAGGTAAAAAGCAGAGACTGACACACTAGAAAACAATTACAACACACAGAGATACATGCACACATCCTCCGAAATAAACGAATGTGGAAAAGCTGAAATACAATGCCAGAAAAAGATATGCCATGCAAACATTAACCAAAGAAAACTGGCTTAGTTATATAACACATATGGCAAACAAGAAAAAATTAATCATAAATTAGAAGAGTATTTTATTACAAGTTAATAAAACACTCTTTTCATCAGGAAGATTTAATAATTCTGTACTTATATCACTTATACAGCTTCATATATGTAGAGCAAAAAAACGAGCAAAAGTACAGAAAACAAAAAACAAGTCCGGTGTGGTCACGCACGCCCACGATCCCAGCATTTCGGAGGCTGAGGCAGGAAGACTGCTGTGAGTTCAAGGCCAGTCTCAGTTACACAGTGACTTCAAGGCCTGTATGAATTACACAGCAAGTCCTGTCTCAAAAAAAAAAAGTTCTTAGGGGGAAAAAAAAAAAAAGTTCTTAGGTAAAATACTGTAAAATTTTTGCCAACATATTTCAAAGTTTGGAAAAAGTCTCAAAAGAATACTGCTTATCAAAACTAGAAATTTTGGGGACTTTGCCGGATAGCTCAATTGTTTAAAGCACCACTTGGGAAAATGTATTCAGGCGCCTAGGACTACAGTTCTATTCCCACCTCCAGAAGCTGCATCAGACCTGCCCTTAAGGCAGCCTGAAGTAGAAAAAAAAAAAAAAAAAAAAAACCTTCTCAAATTTTTAGAGCCAGCCAAATAGCTCAGAGGATTAAAGCACCTGCAAGCAGGTGCAGGGACCAGGGGTTCGATCCCTGGGCCTGCAGTGCCGGCCTTGCCCCCAGGACACGCTGAGATGGCAATTGAGATGGCATTGAGTTTACAGCTCTTGGGAGGCTGTAAACAGGCAGATCACCACGAGTCCAATATAGTAGTGAGACCTGAACACCCTGTAGACCCTTCCTTAAAATACAAAAAAAAAAAAAAAAGAAAGAAAAAGAAATTTTAAATAATCATATCTACTAAGAATTTCAATCTATAATAACAAATTTCCCAAAAGAAAGCTCCAAGACTACTCAGCTTCGAAGGTAAATACCATCATATATTCAGGGACAACTGAAAATAAACATGTCCCAACTCCTTTTATGAGACAATATAACTTTGGTATCATCGCCTGATAAGAACTTTGCAAGAACTGACAATCACAGGCCATCCTATTCACTAATAGAGATGTCAAAGCACAAGAAGACAATGAGGGCATAAATATAAAAAAAAAAAAATTGATATATGGAAAAATAGACGAGATCAGACTCAAAAAGCCATACCATAAACTCACCGTAGAAGATATAATTCAAACTATAACGTCTAGCTCACAAACACTTCAAAGACAGCACAAGTTCTTAAGAGGGCTTAAGACGGGAGCTGAAAGCTCTGTTCAGTTACTTCTCTAGACTTCGCTCCAGCTCTGAGTTTCTAATTTTCTTTCCACACTAACAGAAGTAGGGCTAAAAATATAATACTGTATGTTTAACATACATAAAAGAACAGAGTAAATATCTGAAATGTCCATGCTAAACCCGCTAGCCTGTCACTTCCACCCTGCTCCCTGAATGCTGACAGCCATGTCTTTACCTTACAAGTGGGAGAGAAAAAGAATTATTCTGATGAAGAAGCAAAACGCTGAAGACTGCACAGGTCTGTACACAGTAGTCCACACGGATCATGTCACAAGCCCCATCACTTAGAGAACTTCCAGTCAGCATGTTTGCTTTTGCTTTTTTCTTGTGATACTACTGATTGAACCCAGGATCTACCCACTGAGGTATACCCTTTTCCCTCTCACTTTTTTTGGGGGGACAAGTTCTCAACAAATTGCCCAAGTTGCTCTCAAAATTTACAATCCTCCTGCCTCAGCCTCCCAAAGAGCTGGGATTACAAGTATCTGCCTCTATGCAGTTCCATTCAGTCTTTTAATACTCTAAAACACAGGCAGACAATCAAGAAACACAATATATTAATGAAAGTCTTCTAACATGAAAGCTGGGGCTAAAACTAACACAGATTTAAAAAGAGATTGGTAAGTAAGATTACAGGAAGACCTTTCATTGACGGACACAAGATTACAGTTACACTGTGCTGGCCCTGCATCTGGGGAACACTGAGATGGTAATTGAGACTGGGTGTGGTTATGCACTCCTGTAATCCCAGCTCTTGGGAGGCTGTAAACAGGCGGATCACTACTAGTCCAATCTAGTAATGAGACCCTGAACACCCTGTAAAACCCTTCCATAAAATACAAAAAAATAAATAAATAAAAAAGTTACATAGGATGAAAATGTCACTAGAGATCTAATGTACCACATGAGGACGAGGGTCAGTAATACAGTGGTGCATACTGGAAATTTGTTAAGGCAGATCTTTCTTTACCCAAGAAAAAAATGGGGTAAAAGTGCTGAGATGATGGACTTGACCACAACACCCACTTCACTCTGCACATGTACACCAAAGTATGTTGCACACCTTAACATACATATAATAAAACCTAAAGGAGCCTGGCATGGTGGTGCACGCCTACAATCTCTGGACCAGAAGTCCAGGCCAGGAGGACTGCTGCAAGTTTAAGGCCAGCCTAGGATACATAGTGAGACCCTGTCTCAACAACACCTCAGTGCATGCCTGTATTGCAGGCACTTGGGAGACTGAGGCAGGAGGACAGTAGTGAGTTTGAGACCAGCCTGGTCTACAAAGTGAGCTCAAGGCCAGCCTAAACTGTCCCAAAACAAAAAATGCCCAAATAATAATAAAATCTAGGGGGCCTGCCCATCAGCCCAGGTGTTTAAGTGCTCATCCTCAAGCCAACCTGCCCTGCCCTGAAGGGATCCTGAGCCACAAAAAAAAAAAAAAAAAAAAATCCTTCTAATAATAAAATCTAAAGAAACTAGAAGACAGTTTTGTAAGAAAATACCAAAAAGAAAAAAAGATAAAATGCCAAAAAATAGAAAATTGGAGGGTACACTCAGGAGGCTTTATATCTTAAAAAAGAAAAAAGGATTTTTACAAAGAAAAGAACAAGACAAAAATGGGCAGTTTTTCAAGAACTTTTTTAAAGTCTCAAAAATGAAAGTTTCCAAATTAAAAACAGCCCACAAAGCACCCAGTATAACAAATGAAACAGTCTCACAAACTGGCTCTATCATGAAATTCTTGAAATTTCGGAGAAAAAAAAGACAAGAGAGGATATACAAGCCTCTACCTTATGAGGCAAACACAGGTTGTATATAAAAATATCAGCTTTCAAAGGGCAGGCCAGACAGGGAGTTCAATCTCCCCTAGTGTGCCGGCCCTGCTCCCAGGGCACGCTCAGCCAGTGACAGAGACTGGGCGTGCTGGCACGCACCTGTAATCTCAGCGCTTAGGAGGCTGAAAACAAGAGGATTACTACAAGTCTGATCTGTGTAGTGAGGCCCTATAGATCCTGTACTAAATACATTAAAAAAAAAAAAAAAATCAGCTTTCAAAGCAACATCAGAAGCAGGAGCTTAGCATAAAGGCAGAGGACTTCCCTAGCATGTGTGAGTCCCCAGGTTTAACTCCAGCACTGTCTGCCTAAAGAAGACCAGATATGGTGGCACACACAATCCCAGAATTCTGAGAGGCTAAGGCAGGAGGATCAAAAATTCAAGCTAACCCTAGGAAACTTAGTAAAACACTGTCTCAAAATAAAAATTAAAGAAGGGTTAGGGATGGAGCTCAATAAGGCAGCACTGGGTTCCATCTCCAGTACCAAACACACACACATACACACACCCCTCAAAAACTGGGCTGGGGAGAGAGTTCAGCAGCATAAGTGCTGGGCCTGGTAAGCACAAGGTCCAGAGTTTGCTCCCCGGTATCACATGCTGTGCTGCCCTCAAAACCTGGGGTGTGCAGTGACAGGCCCAAAACCCCAGGTATCCTAGGCAGCACTAGGAAGACTGAGACAGGAGGATCACTACTCGTGCAAATTGTGCAGCAAGACCCTGTATCAAAAACAAACAAAAAAAACAAGCACCCTACAAAATCCCCAAACTGGAAAAATGCTTAGCGAAAACCAATCTAAAATAAAGTAGGTCAAAAAGCTTTGAGAGATGGCCAGGGATATAGCTCAGCAGCACAGTGCATGCCTGGCAAGTACAAGGTTGTGAGTTTGACTCCTGATACTAAACAAACAAGTTTGAGAAACTTCTGACTCCAGCCAGGAGACAATACTAGTGGAATTCCAATGCGTCTGAAACACTTGTAAGATTATTTGGAGATTAACAATTAAGAATAAAATGTAGCTGGGTGTAGTGGCACATGTTTATAATCCCAGCACTTTGGAGAGAGAGGCAGAATTGCTGTAAATTCGTGGGCAGCCTGGGCTATATAGTAAACTCAAGGCCATCCTGAACTACACAGCATTCTAAAAATAAAACAAAATAAAAAACAAAACTGGTAGGGGGCTGGAGAGATGGCTCAGTGGTCTAAAGCACCTACTTAGAACAAGCTTAGCAAAGCACAGGGACCACGGTTCAATCCCCCAGCACCACATGCCAGCCAGCCCCGCCCCCTGGTGGGCTGAGATGGCCACACACACACATACACACACACACACACACAAATAAATAAAAATTTAAAAAAAACTGGTAAAAAAGTAAGTAAGTTAAGTTAATTCCAGGGAAGACAAAAACTAAACAAGGAAGGAAAAGAAATAGAGTTCGGCTCAACTGCAAGTATAACTTAAATATTCACAATAATGTTACCAACTTGACAAAAAAAAAAAAAAAAAAATCACTCTAACTTGTATATATGTAACAAAAGTGGAAATAAAGTGAAATCCTCATCTCTCATAAGGGCAAGACAACAGATGAAAACAAAAATTAAGCAGCACCAACTTAAGCATATAAGTATATTATAAAGAGAAGTGAAGGAAATCATTGAGTCTTTTGAAGTAGCTAAAAGTAGTTTCCTTGAGAGGGCAGGGAACAAGGACCAGGGAGGAACAACTGCAAGGCCACTGCTGGTGGGGGGAGTACTGGTTTTGTAACAAGCTTTGTAGCAAGCTTTGTAGAACAGCTGGACTTTCTAAGTGACATGCATGTACAACTTTGGTAAAAACAAAACCTTAAATTTTAAAAGGTAAAACACTTACCAATATACTTTTCTTGCTTTTTGAATAGAGGTAACTGTTTGAACTTCTTTTAGTGTTTGCTTTGTTTTCTTTTCTGCTGATTTGAATGCCTATTTTTGAGAAAATAAACAATTTCTTTAGAGCATGTGTAAATAAACCAAACCAAAAAAAGTTTTCAAAACATCACAGAACATACACAACAAAAATTTTGTGCCTCAAATATTAATATGCCAACGTTTTATTACATGCAAATATTTGCTCAAGACCTGAAAATTAAGAGCCATCTTGTTCATTCACTCCATCTCCCCAGCTCCATTTCCTAGATTCTAAGTACCTACAACACTGCAGGGGCTAGGGCTAGATATGGAGATATACTAGTGAACAAGACTGGCAGAGTCAGGGGCCAGGGAGATGGCTCAGTGGAATAAGCACTTCCCTGGCAAGCGCAAGGGCCTGAGTTCAATCCCCGGCTCCACCCCCCCAAAAGAAAAGATTGGCCAAGTCTCCAACCCACTGGGCTGTAAAAAAGATAACTAATAAATGTATAATCATCTATTCTAAGTGCTTAAAAAACACTGACAGTACAAGAGGACTCCACATGGTTCAAAGAAAGTATCTTTAAGAGCACTTCAGCCAAAACCTGAAAAACCAGTGACATTATGAAAGAATAAGCATACTAAAAGCACAAAGTTAATCAAAGAGCAAAATGTCAAGAAATAAGGTTGCAATAAGTAGTAGAAAGCCAAGTCATTAAGGCCACTCATTTAACAGAATTAAGTACCTATTTCCAGACACATTCTGGGGATCAGGTCTCAGCAATAAACAAAACAAAGAGGAATAAGATTTTTTTTTTTTCCCATGAGACAGGATCTTGGTATGCAACCTAGCTAGCCTCAAACTCATGATCTTCCAGTCTCAGCAAGCCACGTGCTAACTTATAAGTGTGCACCACTACACACAGCAAGCCATGACAGTTCTGAGGGAAAGGGTTCTAGGCAGAAACAGTAGGAAGTACAAAGGCTTTGACAGCAAAGTAGCATGGTTTTAAGAACAGCTACAGCTTGAGCGCAGCCAGAAAAAGTACAAAAAAGAAGAAATATAGCTGTTGAGGTCAGAGGGACGGAACTCAGACTGTTAAGGCCAGAAGGGCTCTGGACTGTATCAAGATGGGAAGCACCTGGAAGATTCTAAGTAAGAGAATGGACTTCACTTGTGATTTAAAAGGGTTACTGTGGGTGCTGTGTAAGCAGGCTGTAGCAGAGAAAAGGCAGCTGACACAATAAGAGAACATCACAGTCAGCACACAGAAGTAACAAAGGCTGATCGCTGAAACAGATGTGGCCAGATTCTGGGCATCCTTTAAAGTAAGATTCAAAAGATCTGCTAACAGATTGGATATAGTTTGAGAGAATTCTGGATAAGGCCTAACTTTTAAGCAGAGAATGAAGGTGGTATTTGCTGAAATGAAAAGAATGGGGGACTTTCGTAATTAAGGAAGGGAAGAGGTGTTGAAGGGAGGGGAGCAGAAAGGGAAAAAAAAAAGAAAGGAAGATAAATCACATAAAGGTACAAATTGCCTACGATGAATGTTATCATTATGTATATCTAAACTGTATCAATAAACACAATGAAATTATCAAAAAAAAAAAAAAAAGAAAGAAAGAAAAGAATGGGGGAGGAGCGAGTGTGGGTAAGAAAGTGAAAATATACACATTTAAAACAAAACTAAATTTGAGAAATAATTCTGATTTAGAAAGCTTCATTTTAAACATAAAAAATTTATTAAGGTAATTAAAGCAGGCAAAAATGACATTCACTCTAATAAATATTAAGTACCTTCTCAGCAGCTTCAACAGTCTTTTGTGTTTTCTTAGCAGCAAATCTCTTATGATCATAATACCTAAAAATAAACCTCACTTAAATTTTAGTCAAAAATTTTATATCATTATCATGTTTTGTTTTGTTTTCTTCATGTATCTGGTACAGGGTCTCACTACACAACTTAGACTCGTAGTGATCCTGCTGTTTTCAGTCACCTCTGTGCTGGGATAACCATGTGCCACCACACTCGGTCCCCATGGCCTGCTCAGTGCACCTGGGCCCAGTGTGGCATGTGGTTTCAGGGATTGAACCCCAGTACCTGCACTCCCTGAGCTTGCCTAAGCAGGTGCTTAGTCCACTGAGCTATCTCACTGGCCCTTATTATGTCTTTTTGAGACAAGGTTTCACTATGTAGTTTAGGCTGGCCTTGAACTCACTATGTAGCCCAGGCTGGCCTTGAACTCGCAGTGATCTTCCTGTCTGAGTGCTGGGATTACAGGCATGCAAAATCTTTACTTTTAAAACTATTTCTAATTTTACAGATTCTTCAATCACATAGAACAAAGCTACATTATACACAGAAATAAGTATTAAAAGAGCTATTTTCGCCAAAAGAAGTATTTGTAGGTAAAATAATAATTGTTACTACCTCTCTTCTGAGAAACTCCAAATGTCTTACTAGAACTTAAATAACTTACTTCTTGGCATTGGCATAAGCTGACAAGCTGAGGTCAACATCCACAAGCAACGGCTTATTTTTCTGAGGCTTCTGTAGCTGTTTATTCTTTTGCTTTTTCTTTTTTCCTTTTGGTGGTTCACTTTCATTTTTCTCAACACCGACGTCACCATCAGCATTGCCATCTTCCTCCTCTGATAATAAGTATGGATTTCTATTAAAAATATTCAATAGTATTTCACTAATGTCAATGACATCTATTATATTTACAAATTTTTTGCTCAATGAAATTAAAAATGGTTTATAATTCTGTACTTTTCTTGTGGCATAGGGGGATGGAGACAGGGTCTCACCATATATCCCAGGATGGCCTCAAACTCAAGGCAATCCTCCTGCCCCAGCCTCCTGAGTGTGGGGGTTATAAGCAAGCACCCCCATGTATGGCTCAGTACTGTACTTTAAAAGTTTTATCATTTACTGTAGTGTAACTGAGTTTTTCTATTTCTCTGAAAGCTCAAATATAGTGAACTGAATAACAAAATAAAGACAAATACTACTTAGCTAAGAATCAAACTTACCTTAGCAGCATTGTAACATGATTTGTTTGCAGCTTTAATTCTTTTATTGCACTTGCAACAGGGTCCCCTTGAGCTTGGGCTTCTTTCACAATGACCCCAATTTCTGTCCAGTCTATCTGATTGGCTAACGCACTTCGCACAACCTGAATGGCTCTGTCCACTATCTGTAGGTTCATCTCTATGAGTTCTCCTTTCAGTTTGTCTATTTCCTTAAGAGAAAATCAGACATATTTACTATAATCCCAGTTGAGGTTATCATTTTTTTAAAAAGCATCTGAAATGGCTAAGCATAATACCTGAGCCTGCTGAAGAGCTTCTAATCTGTTTTCATGATCCTTCCGGACATTATCTAATTTCTTCAATGCTTGTTTTTCCTTTGGGTGAGAAATAGGTTATTTCATTCATTCATTCATTCATTCATTCATTCATTCATTCATTTTTGGTACCGGGGATCGAACTTGAGACCTTTCACTTGCCAGGCAGGCATTTATGCTGCTGAGCTATATACCTGGTCCCAACATGTTATTTTAAATACAGAGATTTCTTCTGTCTTGTGGTAACCTTTCTGTTATCTTCTAAAACTCAATAGCCTGACTCCACCTAGCCTCCTCCATGCTGTCAACTAGGGAGCTGAAGTTTCTCCCATTGCCAGGCATGGGAGCATATGCCTATAATCCCAGCACTCAGTAGGCTGAGGCAAGAGAACACAAGATGGAGCCCAGGTTCAGCAAGTTAGTGAATAAACCCTTTTTAAAAATAAAAAAGAGCTGGGGATGAAGCTCAGTGAAACAACCCTGGTTCAATCCTTATCACCACAAAACAAAGCAGCAAGTCAATAAAAAAAGTTTCACGGTAGTTATTAGACCTTCTGCCTACCACTTTATCATACATAATTTACAGTCCAAGGCCACTGATTGGAGACAAATTTTCTAACATTAGTAACAGTGCCACTAGTATTTAAATGTTTCATGAAACATTAAAAATATTTAAACTATATGCATTGTGAGTGTTAAAGGAACTTAAATTGGGTCTGGGGAGACAGCTTGGTAGTCTAAGTGCCTGCCTGGCAAGCGCCAAGGACCTGGGTTTGATTACCAATAACACATGCTGTGCCAGGCACACCATGATGCCCCGAAATGGGGTGTGGTGGCACATGCCTGTAATCCCAGTGCCAGCTGGGGAGGCTGAGACAGGAGGATAACTACTAGTCTGATCTGTGTAGCGAAACCCTGTACCAAATAAATAAATGATTTAAAAAATAAAAAGAACTTCAACTGGGCACTGCGCTACATCCCTGTAATCTCAGCACTCAGGAAGCTGAGCCAAGATAGTGCAAGGCCAAACTGGATAACAGACTGAGTTCAAGGCCAGCCTGAATTATATAGCAGTACCCTGTATCAAATAACAAAACAACGAAAAACAAACCTTAAATGATCACCAAAATAAATCACTGGTACAGTCTAAGTATTTTTGATCCTAAAAACATGGAACCAGAAGTATCTCAGATTTTGGAAATTTTTTTAGATTTTAGAATTATTTAGATAGACTTTACCATTTGTATATCCCTAACCTGAAAATCTGAAGTCTGAAACTTTCTGAGTACCAATGATGCTAAAAAAAGTTTTAGGTTTTACAGCACTTCAGATGTTTCAGATTAGAGATGTCCAGCCTGTACTCTCATAAAACCACAGGGATCAGTGTTACTGCACCTATTTATAAGCCAAAGTACTGCCACCACATGGTGATCACAGTGTATAATGCACTGAACTACCTGCTTTGAAAGTGTACTGTTAATTTTTGAAAACTGAAGGACGCTACAGAAGCTGCACATTTATAGTTCCAGCACATGGAATGCTCAGGCAGGAGGATCACAAGAACAATCTCAGCCTGGGTAATTTAAAAACTAGGCAAGACCCTGGGTGGTAAAAAAAAATTTTTAAATAAATAAAAGGGGATAAAGATGTAGCCAAATGTGAAGAATGGGGTTTCAATCCTTAAGTATCATCCAAAACAAATAAAAAATAAAACAATTGAAGGGGAGGGAGAGGTTACAAAGATTCATATTATTTGAAAATTCTGCATACACATTTTAAGACTATTAATATTTTGGACTTTTTTTCCTTTTTTGGCAGGATCAGGCTGCCTTAGGGGCGGGTCTGGTGTGGCATATAGAGCTCGGGATTGAACCCGGCTCCCTGCACCTGACTGGGTTTGCCAAAGCAGCTGCTTTAAACAACTGAGCTAATATACAACCCCCCCCAGACTATTGACAGTTTGGAACAAATGCTCTAAAGGCCTGGTCAAATGGGCTAGGAAAGTAATGCATATTAAATCCTTCCTATGGAGTCATGATATACAGAAAACATATTAAAGATCTACTTTTAAAGTTCAGGGCTGGTTGGGCCAGCAAGATAGCTCAGTGGTCTAAAGCACCTGCTTAGGCAAGCTTAGGCAGGCGCAGGGGACTGCGTGCCTGCTTAAGCAAGCACAGAGACTGGGGTTCGATCCCCAGCACCACATGCCATGCCATCACTGAGCCAGCCACCTAGTCAGAGTGTGGTGGTGCACCCCTGTAAAAACCAGGGCTGGGGAGGCTGAAAACAGGAGGATCACTACAAGTCCAAGCTGCATAGCAAGACTCTGCACCAAATACATAAAAAATAAACAAAAATAAAGTTCAGTAATTTTAAGAAGGGGAAGAGAGACAGAAGGGAAGGGAAGAGAATGGAAAAAAAGAGGAATTAAGATGTATAATGTACAGGTACAAATTCCCTATGATGAATGTTATTTTGTAATATATATGGTATACTAATAAATCTAATTTTAAAAAACAAAGTTGCTTTTAAGAAACACCATGTACAATTAAAAACTTACTTTGTTTTTTTTTTTTTTAATTTATGTGTGTGTGTGGCCAGCTCAGCCCACCAGAGGGCGGGGCTGGCTGGCATGTGGCGCTGGGGGATTGAACCGTGTTCCATGTGCTTTGCTAAGATTGTTCTAAGTAGGTGCTTTAGACCACTGAGCCATCTCACCAGCCCTAAAAACTTACTTTGCAGAGAAAACATTTTTCCCTTCTCTTGCCCATTTAAAAATCTCCCAGTTAAAAAAAAAAAAAAAAAAAAAAAAAAAATCTCCCAGTGATAGTCTCATAAACGCAAAGTCTGAGGTTTTTGATAGCTTTAGTAAAGCAAACCACACCAGGGTATAAACAATAGACCTTGCCTTCTCATTTTATTCCCCCAACCCTTTGGGCTTTGTTTTTTGAGACAGGGTCTTGCTATGTAGTTCAGACTGGCCTGAACTATGTAGCCCAGGCTGGACTCAAATTCATGCCAATCCTCCTACCTCAGCCTCCCCTCCCAAGTGCTAGGATTATAGGCATGGGCTCCCAAACCTGGCTATTTCCTTTTGTGTGTTTGTGTGGGGGGTGAGTTATAAGGAATGAACTCAGAACTTTGCACCCATCAAGCAGGCACTGTGCTGCTGGCTATAACCCTGGTCCTATTTCCCTTTTTTGAGTGCATGTGACAAACGGAATGTGAGGCTATGCTTTACCACGGTGAGACCTTCCCTGGACCTCTATTACAAAGCGAGAGACCAGGGAATTCCCATAGCTTTTACCGCTACTTCTGAAAGGATGCTCCTTCCTAAACGAATGTATCATGGCTATGGCTTGTGTCTAGATGACCACTCAAAGCCTCAGTCACACGTGGGGCTTTTCAGAGGTGGCTAGATCTAGCATGTGTGCCACTGGGATTGATTCATGGTGTGATACTAGGATTAAGGACGTTAGTATTGGGGCCAGGGAGATAGCTCAGTAGCATAAATGCTTGCCTGGCAAGCACAAGGGCCTAATTTCAATCCCAGGTTCCGCCAAAAAAAAAAAAAGACCTTAGGATTAAGGGTACAAGTACTGCCTACTTGGGTAGGCAGCCTGGATAAAATGTACAAGGCACAGAGCTGCCCTTGTTGCCACTGGTTACTCGCTTGCTTTCTCTGTCTTCTGCCACAACATGAACTGCTTCTCCTCTGCAGTGCCGCTCTGCCACACCACCCTGCCTCGGAGCCAGCCTGCTAGGAAATAACCTCTACGAACTGTGGGCTAAATAACCTTCCCTCCCCCAATCTGCGGCTATTGGGTATTTTGTCTCAGCAATGATAAAAGTAAGATAATCATCTGCCCATCAAACCATTCTATTAATAGCTGGCTTAATATAAGTTTTTAATAATACCATACCTGCTGTAAAGCTTTTAAATCAATTTTCTGACCTTCTATCTTCGAATAAAATTCATCCACGGCCTTATTTAAAAAAAGAGAAAAACTAGCTGTAAAAAAAATGACTTCTACTTCAATTTGCACATACAGAATATAGTCTATTTGTTTCATAATGCCACTCACAGAACTTGAATAATTTCCAGTAAATTTATTACATAGAAAAACAGTATCAAAAATCAAATTACAGCCAGGCATGGTGGCACATTCTGGTAAATTCAGCACTCCAGTGGCTGAAAAAAAAGTTTGAGGCCAGCCTACGTAGTGAATTCAAGGCCTGCCTAAGCTACATAGTGAGAACCTATCTCAAAATTTAAAAAGATAGGACTGGGGAAGACAGCTCGGCAGTCTAAGCACCCGTTTGGCAAGCGCAAGGACCTGGATTTTTTTTTTTTTTTTAAACATTTATTTATTGTGTGTGTGTGTGTGTGTGTGTGTGTGTGTGGCCAGCTCAGCCCACCAGGGGGTGAGGCTGGCTGGCATGTGGTGCTGGGGGATTGAACCACGGTCCCTGTGCTTTGCCAAGCTTGTTCCAAGTAGATGCTTTAGACCACTGAGCCATCTCGCCAGCCCAAGGACCTGGATTTGATCCCAGGTACCACATGCTATACATGCCAGCCCTGAAACTGGGCGTGGTGGTCACTCCTGTCATCCCCGAGCTGGGGAGGCTGAGAGGAGGATCACTACCTATGAGTCTGAACTATAGCAAGACTCTGTATCAAATAAATTAAAAACAAACAAAAAATAAGAAATAAACAAAAAGTTTTAAAAATTAAATTACACTGAAGTCTCCTGACTCTTCATTTTGAAATAAAGTAGCAACAACTATTTCTAAAAGTAGTACCCATGACAACACTGACTTTCAATGCCCAGATTCATAGTGATTGTGCAGAACATTTTTAATTTTTCAGTGAAAGCAAGCTAATATTAACTTAATAGAGCACACAATTTTGATGTTATCTGATTAAAAAACAGAAACAGAAAACCCACCTTGTCAAATGATTCAAATTCTATATATGGACATTGAGAATGTTGGGAAAACAAGAAAGGATGAAATTCCTCATACCTGTAAAATATATTTATTACATCACATTCAAGAACACCAAAAGCACCTAAAGCAAACTGATCCATGCCTACATACTTACGTAAGTATGTCTTCAACTGGTTTATCTACTTCTAGGCTTGGTTTCACTTCTCTTTTCTGGATGATATACCCCTATAAAAATCCAGTATTAAAATAATTTTCATAATTGAAATGATGCTCAATCATATTCATAATTAACAAAGACCTACTCTCCATGTCTGGTACTAATTTTATTTTTTGGAAGAAATACCTGGAATATAAAAGGAAAATATTCGTAAGATACAAGATAATTTTTAAATTGTCTAACTAGAAGGCTAAATTACCTCATTTTTAAAAATGTTCAATATTTTTTATTTATTTTATTTATTTTTTTGCAGGACAGGGGATTGAACCCAAGACCTTGTGCTTGCCAGGTAAGTGCTTATTCTACTGAGCTATTTCCCCAGCCTCATATTAATTTTATTGAGAAACAAATAGCAATGAGATAGTTTCAAAACCGATTAATAGGACAGTTTCAATAATTAGTACATTGCATATTATTGTCTTCATAGTGGTTAATCACTTCATTTTTAAAAACTGTTGGCAAATTAAAATATGCCTCTGTGTAAAATCGATTCAAGAAGTCATTCTCAAATTCTTCAACTTTTCTGAAATGTTTATGTAGCTTTTTTTTTTATCTTTTTGAAACAGGGTCTTGGTATGCTGTTCAGAGTGGCCTTGGGCTCGCTTTGTAGCCCAGGCTCGTCTTGAATTCACAATGATCTTCCTGCCTCAGCCACCCAAGTGCTGGGATTACAGGCATGCACCACCTGCACCACCACCACTTCCCAGCATGCTGATACTGATTTGACATAGTACTTTCTATAAAACATAAGTAACAAGGGCTGGAGGTATTGTACGGTGGTAGAGTACTACACAGGATCTGTTAGGTCTGTGTGTTGGGAATCAGGAATTATAAACTTCAATAATAGTATCTGTCTTGGGGTCTCCTTGCCGTGCCTGCCTTGTGGGCTGGTTTTAGAATAAATAAATCACCTTTTTGGTCAGTGAAATTAGTATCCAGGAGTGGGGATGGGCCTTGGCTTGTTTCTTTTATGATGTTAAACTTGCTCATTCTTACACAGCCTCTATGCCTTACCAGAAAAGCACCCTTTGCCCTCCCCTACACTGGCTACTAAAATAGTAGCTGGCTTGGAGTATCTTTGTCCCTGCCCATCCTGAGGTACTGACCTCCCAGCACCCCATCATGCACTACTACATTTGTTTCTTATTTCATCCTATTGATATACCCCTTATACCGGCAGTTGGGGCTCTTGGCCCAGTCCCATACCACTAATTCTAAGCACCAGCATCTCAAAAAACAAAGTAAGAGCCAAACATGGTGGTATATGCCTGTAACCCCAGCACCTGGGATGCTGAGGGAGTCCAGCCTGGGCTACATAGTGAGTTCAAGGCCAGCCTGAACTACAAAGTGAAACCCTGTCTCAAAAACAAAACAAAACAAAAAAATTACAAACCAAAAGTAATTTTAAAAAGAAAAGAAAAACTTACCCCGAGGCTAGACATGTACCTTAGTAGTATTTAGCATGCACATAGCCTTGGGTTCAAGCCAGACATGGTGGTGCACACCTATAAACTCAACCCTAGAAAGGCTGAGACAGAAAGATCACCAGGAGTCTAAGGCCAGCCTAGGCTACACAGTGAGCTCAAGGGCAGCCTCTACAGGGCAAGACCCTGTCTAAAAAACAACAACAAAAAGAAAAATCTAAAAAACAAGGCCTTCAGTTCAATCTATATGATCAAAAAATAAAACACTCAAAATCCACTCTGGAATAAGCATATTACAAATATTAATTTTCCAAATTAGAAAGACTAAACATACATATATTGATCCTCTAATGTACATATATTGAAAACTCACTACCTGGAAATCCAAATAAGCCACAACAGTACACAGTAAGTGCACACAGTGCTACCTTTCCACTGAAGTTGGATGCTGTTTTCATATAGTCTTCTGCCTTCTGCATACAAACAAGCACTTTTTCAATATCTAACAGGAGAATAAAAAGAAAAAGGAAGTTCCAGCCAAGTGTCAATAAACCACAGGGGGTGTGGTGATCACTCCTGTAATCCCAGCATTCAGGAGTCTGAGGTAGAAGGATTACTGTGAGTTCCAGGCCCGCCTGGGCTACAAAGTGAGTTTAGGACCAGCCAGAACTACATAGTGAACCTGTGCCTCAGAAACACACAAAGTGTCAATTAACCATTCTTACACAACCACGCAGAAAAGTATGAAATAATATAAATTGCTCAAGACAAGTACCCCTTTTCATGTTCCTAATTAGCTTACCCAATAGCCTATTTTTGAATCATCTATCTTTTCTTCCATAAAAGCCACTTTACTGATAAACTAAATTCTGTAATATATTTGGGCCTATTGGATTTTTTATTCTGTCTATTCTTTCTCTAAAAGGTTACCCAATTTTGGGGGGGTATTCTTGTGATACTGGGGATTGAACCTAGAACCCTACACAAGATAAGGCATGTTCTAGCACTGAGCTACATCACTGGCCCTCTTTATTTTTATTTTTTTGGCGGAACCGGGGATTGAACTCAGACCCTTGCGCTTGCCAGGGAAGCTCTTATTCTACTGAGCTATGTCCCCAGCCCCTGGCCCTCTTTATTATTGTTATTTTTATTATTCTGAAATACTGAGAATCAAACTCACAACATCATAAAATTCTAACTCAATCATACAACCATACCAAAGAACTACAGAAATTCAAGTGCATGAACACTGTTTCTAATAACACTCCATATTCTAAGTCTGAAGGGTAAAAATTCAACTTATCAAAATCACAGTTTCCCGAAGTTCAGTACCCAGTCCGAAAACTTAAAGAGGATAGAAATGGAAAATATTCTAAAATCAAAAGGTCTGAAGGCAGATCAAGAGACTGAACTGCATATTACTAGGAAGAAAGCTCCATATTGAAGTAGGCAATGAGAATATAGACATAGGAAACTCATAGGACAAATGTATTTAAGCGTATAAACTACCTATTATTACTTGATTAGAAATTAATAATTAAAAATAAATAGGGTTGGAGTATAGTTCAGGGGCAGATTCCTGGTCAAAATGACACCCTTAGTTTGATTCCCAGCACCACGAAAGAAAGAAAGAAACAGACAGACAGACAAAGAGGGGCCAGGGAGATAGCTCAGTAGAATAAACGCTTACCTAGCAAACGCAAGGGCCTGCGTTCAATCCCCAGTTCCACCAAAAAAAAAAAGAAACCCGTAGAAATAAACAAAAATTATACCATGAAAACATACCTTTGCTTTCAAGCTTTTCATCCACTTTGACACTGCCAGAGAGTCCATTTTCTATGAGACAGTGCTCAATGAGAGCTGGGCCGTAGGCTACAAAAGCAAAGGGAAGTTTTTAGTAATATCATATAAAACTGAATATTAAGGGCCAGGACAAAGCTCAGTGGCACTGTGCTTGCCTGACAAGCATGAGGGCCTAAGTTTGATTCCCAGTTCAAAAAAACTCCCTGAATATTAAAAATACATGTTTGGCATTACCATAACAATGATCTATTCAATAAAAACAATCAATGAAAATAAAAATAAGCTTATTTTGGTTTTTTTTTTTAAGTTTTCTTTATTTTATTTTTTAACATTTATTTGGTGTGTGTGTGTGTGTGTGTGTGTGTGTGTG